AAGATGGAGTACAAATGTATCAGTAAGTTTTTTTCATCGAACTCGATATTAGCAGCTTAGGCCGGCTTAGGGTTAGGCTTAGACGTCGGCTTGGCGGAAGCTTAAGCTAGGCTTAGGAATAGAATTCAAATTACTATTCCAGCGGGCTTGAACGCTTGCGCTATCGACCGTACTCGTCGGAACTGGTGTCCAGCTTGTCGATTGGCTAAATGCCGACTTTTTGAATATGAATGCTGAGAGTAACGTTGCAAGTATTTATGTTCTTACGGCTCTAGTTCCAGCTGTTCAATCAGAACATGGCCTAGAAGCCGCCAAGCGATTGAATACTGTTCTTGGGATCCCGAGAAATCAGGTGGCCCCCAACATTTCTGAATCCGAGTCGACAGCTTCATCCTCGGAAGATATGGAAGAGAAGAGACCAATATTGGTAGGAACTGGTTTTGCATCTCCTGCTCGTCGCTATCTCCCTGTCTCTCTCTCTCTTCCCTCTCCCTCTCCTCATTTGTTATTTCAGCACCTTCAATCTATCGAGTTGCCCTCAGCAGCGCGTGGACGGAAACTCCATCTTAGCATTTTCCAGGACTGGGTGAAGAGGAAAGGTATTTGTGTATTTTTAGGTGATTACCTACGACATTCCAGTTTGTGAGGGGATTCCACAAACAAATCGCTCTCCTCTTCTGTGCCGCCAATAAAAACCCATGGGATCAGAGTGTACGTCAATTTTCATAGGTCAAGACGAAGTTCCAGCTAGGACTTAGGCTTAGGTCGGGCTTAGGCTTGGGCTTACGCTTATCTTACTTAAGGTTAGACTTAGGATTGAGCTTGGTTTCGAAACATTCAAAATTCAGAACATCACTTTAGAACTGGAGCCGTTAGACCTTGATAGCGAAGAGCTGCGACTTAGGCTCTTTTACCTGTTATGCCTTCTAGGTAAGCCTTGCTTATTTTTTCTTTACGTATCGTAGCGTACTTGAGCCTACCGCTACGCTTTGCTACTTTATTTTTTAGGCCGATCCGGCCCTTATTGCGGCTTCGCCTATCCGCTTGCCGGATGGTACAGAGTCCTGGCTCCAAGTGCGCTGCGTGAAAGCTGGGCAGCCGGATAGAGCATTGAGAATTTCCGAGTTGGTCGAGAGGGTGCTTGATGGGAGTTGATCGGTTTGTACTTAATGTGCTCGTTTGAAAATTTTGTAGAACAACCTTCAGTTCGAGGCAGATTTTGGGAAGCTGATTCAAGAGTTTCAGCAGATTTGAGTGAAAACGATGGTGATTGCTGTCGTAACTGGATGCAAATTTGAAGCAGATAAATATATTGGCTTGGCCTTGATAATATCCATTTATCTACTATTTTTTAACGTCATAAAAATACCTTGTCCATTTTCATCTCGTCAATGCAAATTTAATGTGGAAATTGGATAGAGATTCTCTGAAGAAGATGATGAATTTTGCCCTTTAGATAATTTTGGAAATTAAAACTGTGATTTTGTACATTTTTCATACATTTATTATCTTCCAAAATTTTCATTTTTCACCTCTTTAAGTACCGGAAAGAGGTAGGCTTAGTGTCCTCTTGTCCATAGATAAATGGATAGTCCCCTCTTCGTCCTTTTTCTGGGTTTTCTGACTTCTTCGATCTGCATAAAATTCATCTGGGGGGCTTACTAGTACCTCTAAAAACCTCTTAGGTTATTTCCAAGTCCAAATTAACCTGATTCCTTTGCTGCCCCACTTCCGCTTCACTTTTCTCACACTTTGCACGAGCATAGGCATTGACCATTGATGATTTCACCTAGATTTTTACAGCGCAATTGAATATACCTACCATTTCCTAATCTCCGTGGCTTCCCTGTTTTGCCCATTTAAGGTATCCTTAATACCAAAAATTGATGCGGCATCGGCGAGAAGTCCGGTAGTCAATCCCTCGCTCCGTGTGGCTATACCAAGATTATTAAATTCTGGAAGAGAACAATTACGGGCTCTTCTCGGGTAGTTTTCTGGTGACTGAATCGGCTGGCCTCTGGCCGGAAGTGGAGGACTTTCGCGGCTTACACAGCTCAGCATGGCTTGCTAAAATTAAGCAACTAATATTACCGTTTGAATAACGCTTGCAGAACTAGTAGTCAAGGTGCTAAATCAATTTGGTATGATTTATATGTTCAAACATAAGAACCTACCACGATCTGCTTGTCAAAGTTGTCCCTGGCCTGACAGAGGCAACCCCGTAGCGTTCCGGAATCCGTTCGCTGGCAGATCGTACGGGTTCGTACCCTAAAATACGCCAACATCATTTTGAAACCTCGGTAAATTAGTAAATTATGAAACTTAAAATGTGGCGCTATAGCAGTAAGGTACGGCTAGATGTCAACGGGTGGGTGTTATACTAAGTATCGGTTAAATCAATAAGGAATGGAAGTTATTTCCGCATCAATAAATCGCTCTTATAATCTGGTAAGATACAGTAAACTTACTGCTGTATGCATTGGCGCATTATGTAGTCCCTTTGAGCGATCAGTTGCTGGAAGTCCTGACTCGTTTCCAAGGCATTACGATAACACATCACTTCGTAGTCTTCCCACTGTGCAAGAGGAGGCTAGATTGTTTCTAAAAACTTTGTAAAAACATAGGTATTTGATTTCCAGGCAATAATTATTATAAACAATCAAATTATAAAGGTCTAGAACCACCAATCAAGAAATGTTATAAAAATTTGTATTGCGGTAATATTTTCTTACAATTTTGGATCCAGCGATCCGACAAGTCGACCGATACCACTTCCAAAAATCCGAAGCGCCGATTCACTTAAAAAATAAGCTATAGAATTTATAAAACCTTTAAATTGTCTGCTTTGAATTTATTAGCAGGTTAAATTTATTACCCTCTCCATACAAGCAACCCCAGAATCCAGTGCACTTTGAGTTCCTTCGCTCCCAATCCCCATAACCTATCCGTCATCTCCGTGGAGTAGACGATTTTTGCGTAGATGGCATCGACTAATTTTTGTCTTTTAGATACGTTTTGAATGTAAAGTACCATCAATATAATATTGATCATGCGCTGAATTCATGGCCATTAAGGGGTTCCGAAGAAAACAGGAATCTACGGTCGCCCGATATCGATTTGCGGCCTCGGAGAAGTTGTCATACGCTGAAATTGGCTATTCGAAGAGAGAGAGAGAGAGAGAGAGAGAGAGAGGTGAGTTTATAGTCCTTACTTTCCAAATCCCCATTAAAGGCGCTCGGACAGCGCGCAACGATTCTCGAAGCATCGATTATACGCTATTCTTTCTTCCATGGCACCTTAAAAATCCAAGAAGCTAAATATTATTTGGCATTTTCCTACGCTGGTCGCTTAAGCACTGCTGAAAGGCGGCGTCCTTGTTGCATAATGTCCTTTTCGTATTCTTCGATAGCTACTGCACATCGCTGGATCTGATCGGCGCAGTAGAATTGAGCGTGGATCTGGAATAGACAAATTTTAAGTTAATCTTTGGAAGACGATATAGTGTTTACGTCTATCCACTTACGCAATCAAATCCGCAAACCAGCGTAATCAATAGTCGAAGCAATCCGAATTTCATGTTGTGTGGAAGCCGAGGAAGTGGGACCTAGTTTCGATATTTGCATAATGGTCTGCTAGCCCTCCCCGCTCCTCCTTCCTGTTGCCCTCCTTTTAGGATTCGAGTGTCTGTCGCGCCGGTTCTATACAAACGACCAGATGTAGGTGTCAGGGGAACATTGTGTAGCAGGGCCTTGAACTTGGCTAGCTACTAGAGAGGTTTGGATACGTCATAACTTGAAGCGGTTAGTCGACCGATTTTCATGCTTACTGTTGCTGTCTCTCTTCATCACTTTCACTCTCTCGCACTCTCTTTCTTTTTCTGTCTCTCTCTCGCTCTCTCGCTCACTTTCTCTTTTCTTTTTTAACATCTCCAAAAATCCATTTATTGAGCAAAAATTCAGTACAAAAGGGGAAGGCAATTTCGAATAGGTGGGTCAATTCTAGGGAGGCGGGGTGAAGAACACTTTAATGAAGACAAGAAGGGAGATGACGACGGCTTGCACCGTCGGCATGAGTGCGTGGTTAACCGTCTAGGGTTACTGTAGAGTGGAGTGGGGCTGAAAAAGGCGTGCGGTAACTCTCGAATTTTGTGGAATTTGACGCAAACCCTAGCTAATGCTTTTACTGCCCCTACAACAATTTAAACGTTTTTGAAGCTCATTTTAATTAGAGCCGGATAATTTTTGATGTATCGATTACGCTACACTACACTCGACACTACTGTCTAATATAAGGGACAAATATTAAGTGTTACGCACCCTACAAAACCCACGCTTGTTTGTTTCCAAAATTGCTGCGTATCGTCAAGGGTGGGGAACGGGCAACGGATCGGAGGCGGTTACAGAAGGTCCCGGCAGTCCGGAACCGAAGAGGGGCTTCTCCTGAAGATCGCAATAATATTTCCCTTACTTATCCATTACGACCAATATGCCCAAAAAAGCGTCAATTTAGAGGCTACATTGCAGCAGTCATCACTCCAAAAACTCTAAAATTTCTTAAAGGGACAAACAAGACAAAAGAGCCGTATGTGTGGCTTTCGATTGCGTAACTGATTAAAGCCCTTAGATTGGATACGCGGTCGTGTTGCGATACGACAACAAGTGAAAATCCATGATTATGCCTTGCATTTATTTTTAAAGGGGCCGGAAAAGCAATACCTAGCCCCTTCCTCCCGCTAAAAAGCCTCGCAAACATGCGTATGGTCATAAAAAGTTACACAGCTACTCAAACCAACCGGTTGTTAGGCCAAACCTAGATGAAAAATCATTTTAGTCGGCTATTCACAACCCAAAGTCGAGATTTAAGCTGAATTTTCCAAGTTAAGACATTTTAGGGCGTTATAATCGCCAGAAACAAATTCTAACTAGAAGCTTACGTGCGTGTAGGTGAGTGGGGGCGCCGTGTTGAGGGGTGCTCGCTCGGCGCGAGCCATTGAGGCCTAAAACTGAATTCCAAGCTCCTTTAACGTTTCGATACCTATGCGGACTGCCGACACCTCAGCTTGCCGTACTTGTTCTTCTGGGCCACCTGGTAATACTGGGGTTAGGGGTTAGGAGGTGTTGTTTAGGGGAGGAAGTTGGCTTACCTGGTAGGCGATCAGGGCGATCAGGGCAACGGATAGGAGGATGCAAAGCGCCAACAGCACCAGGCGACAGTTTCCCAGGCTGAAGCTCCGGTAAGGCTAAAAATTGTAAGGTTTGATAACTCAAATTTTGATGGGTACCACCCTTTAAAAATTTAGAACAATTACGACTTAAAAATTCCCTCCTTAAAACCCTACGTCTCCAGAAGTGTAGCCTTGTATTCAGGGGACACAACTTTGGTCTCGGTCTCGGTGTCGGTCGTTTTCTTCACTACTATAGAGGGCCATCTTCAGGTGTTTCAGTTTGCCCCTGATCTCGTCCTCCACCATTTTTGAAGTTCCTAGAATATTAGAGGTTGGTCAGAGGTAAGCTAGCAGGGATTATTTAGGAGGCCTCGAAGGTGGCTAGACTTGCCAATATTCCTTAAGTCCTCTGAAGCCTACCTTGTCGAGCTTCTTCTCCAGCTTGCTCCAACGACTCGGTCAACACCTCCTTCAAGACTTCCTTGGCCGCGCCGTGTCCGTCTTGCTGAAATGGTACCGATTGATGGAGAATATGCCATTTTAGACCTTGTATTGATAGCGCTTCTCCATGAACGCCTTCAGATCGGCTCCAAGTCGTTCGCCATCAGCCTTCAGCTCGTTGCCTTGGGTCTAAAAATCAATTATTTGCTGTATTTTTGACGCCTACTTACCTCAAGTTGGTTGTAGATGGTGGCCAGCTTGTCCTTGAGGCCTGACGGCGCTCCTCGATGGCGGCATCGCTAGAGAAACGTGCATTTTAGAGGGACATGTAAGGAACGACTAGAGATTTTTGGACATAGATTCCATTACGCGATGAAATGTGGTGGACAAGGCATAATTTATCGTCAGGCTTACCCGTCCCTTTAAATTTCAAAATTCTCCATTTATTTTTACTCACCTAGCAGCCTTGTGGTTACGGTAGAGTTCGTCGACTTGCTGCAGGTAACGCGCCGATTTGCTAGAAACATCGATCGTTTCCAAGGTACAATAAAATGTTTTAACAAAGCGATTTAAAGTAACTTTCACAAGCTTAAGGATAGATCTTGTGGAGGGCAAAATTCTACATCTCTTGAGATTAGTTTTTCGCTTATCATTAATAGCCCAAAAACTCACAGCCATATTCTTCTCCTTGGCCTGCGCCACCTTGGACTCGATCGAGGCATTGACAATCTGCTTGAACTCGTTGTACCCGTCGGCGATGGCTTGGCGCTAAAAGCGATGTCAAACATTAGTTTTTACACAAACCTGGGCGGCCTTGCCGTCAAGGTAGGCTTGTTGGTACTCCTTGGCGGCCTGGACGGCTTGCAAAAGATTACGGGATCATGAAAATCAGTAATTTACCTACCATATAGACCTTCTCGGTCTCGGCCTTGTATCGGTCAACCATCTCCTGTTTGATCAGCTCCAGCTGGAGAGCCTTCTCCGCGTCTTTCATCATCTTGTCCTTCCAGACCTAAAAGGATAGGGTGAATTCGCCGATTTTCAAAATATCCTCCTCTCTGTCTCTCTCTCTCTCTCTTTCTTTCTCTCTCCCTACCTGCTTCACCCGAGAAGCCCACGTGCCATAAAGCTCATCCTTAGCGGCTTCAGCTTCAGAATACACCTGGTGGACCTGAGCAAGGGCCGTGTCCTCGATCGATTTAATTGCCTTAAAATTAGCTTAAAACTGAAATCCGTGACTTACTCCTAGATAGTCGTTTAGTTTCACGTCGGACAATTGCTATAAAATTGAAATTTGGTGACGAATTCGAAATTTCGATTACCGGCACAGATTCCGCGGCATAGCCACCAGTCGCCTGCGAATTTACAAGATATAAAACTGGTAAAAGGAGTAGAAGGGCTCTCATCTAAAAATCTTACCTTAAAGGGAAAATTTTCGTTAGAATAAAAGCGGGAAACATCAAATTAATTGCCCGAAAAGTCGAGGTAAGTTTGGCCCCTAGGCTTAAGCTGAGGCTTAGGCATTGTCTTACTGTAACCCTCTTATGGTCGAAGTGGAAATTCGTTTCGTGAGATAGCACACCTTGTGCAGAAATTTTTTCGCTGATTCCGAATCATCCGTTTTCAAAAGTTGCGGAACCCCTTAGACTAAAAAGTTACAAACGTTTTTATTACCCAAAATGCCAAAATCCGCTTACTTTAAAGTGTTATAAAAATTTCGTAAAATACTTTTTGCAGGGCGAGTAAGGCGTTCTCCGGGGTAAAAAACGTGCTCTTTCGAATGGGCTACCTCACGAACCCGTAGCTCGAAATTTCGAAAATTTCGAAAATCGGCCATCTTGGGAATGGGTCCACCGAAAAACTTTTTGCAAATTTTGACCTACGGGTTCGTGAGGTAGCCCATTCGAATGAGCACGTTTTTTTACCCCGGAGAACGCCTTACTCGCCTGCAAAAGTATTTTACGAAATTTTTAGAACACTTTAAAGTAAGCGATTTTTGGCATTTTGGGTATTAAAAACGTTTGTAACTTTTTAGTCTAAGGGGTTCCGCAACTTTTGAAAACGGATTCGGAATCAGCAAAAAATTCTGCACAAGATGTGCTATCTCACGAAACCAATTTCCACTTCGACCATAAGAGGGTTACGTTAGGCTGGACTTTGGCTTCCGCTTAGCCTTTAAGCTTAGGCTCAGCGTCACTAACTACAACCCTTTTCAAAATACCAAAAATTCAATATCGCTCCCTAAACAAGCCGACTCAGTCAAAATATGCACTGATAATGAGCGAGAGCACTTGTTTACTGCGTCTTGTCGACAAATCGAAATGAGCCGCCAAAATAGACACCAGAAGCTAGATACGGAAATGTGGGTGGCGGGCAGGTGTTGAATTGAATTGTCTGATTGAAAGGATTGGGTTTTATTGAGGCTCTTTTGACAAGCTGAACAGTGCAATAATCCGTAAAGGTAAAATTTTACCGGCATTAACTTGCGATAGAGAAATACGTCTAAGTTTTAACTTCTGCAAAGCTTGAACGCGGGGCATGATTATGAGGAAACTTCCGAAACGCGAAGTTAAAACTCGCTTAGCGACATAGCCTATCAGATGCCGTTTTTCAGGCTACCTTACCGGTTATATTTTGTCCGGATTGCCGTAAAAATATTAAAACAACTTAAGAGCTTGGAAATGTTTGCATAGGATGTAGGAATTGTTAAGCCAAATTATTGCACGCTTTGACTTTTTATTATCGTACATCCGGTTCGCAAATTTTGTTCATTGTGCCACTGCGGCTACTGTACCAAATCGATCAACGGCTTCGGTATCTCAGAGCAAAAGCAAAGAACCGAAATTGCGCCGGATTGGGTCGCCGAGGCATGGCTTTTCGTGCGAAAGATGTTTTGTTAGGAATTTCGGTACGGTAGCTTCAGAACTAGCGAATTTTGCTAAATAATTTTTCCTAAATTTTCCAAGACTTATTTAGCTGGAGATTTGTATAAAAAGCGTCTCTAGCGGCGATAGATGCGAAATTAGAATCAGCAATTTAACAAAAAATGGAACGCCAAAGAGTCTGAAACGCAAGCTATGATTAGTGCGACATCAATGGCAAATACAGTAACTGGAAGTTTGCCAGACGAAGGATGGTTGAATTCGATCAAAATCATAATAATTAGACAACCACGTGCGGCTTGTCTGACAGCCAGCCCAGAAATTGGTTGTTTAGGCTTTGTGTTGTCAATAGGCTCCTTCCCATCCGAGGGCCTCCGCTTCATTTCCATGAGTCTCGTGAAGGGATGGATGGGCCTTATCAAATTGTGGTGTGTAGCGTCCCGCTACGGGAGGATGCTTCTTCACCCATCAAATGGCCCTCCTTCCCCGGCCTTATGTTTGGGGGTTCTTCGAAAACACGTGCCTTCCGCTCGCCACACTGCCTCCGGGGACATCAGATTTACGACACCTTACTATTGACGAACATGGGGAGGGGAGGGGGTTGATATGGTATGCAAATGAAGAGCCTTAAAAAGGGGTTGACTTACGTAATTCAGAAATTTTGGTAAACGACAAAATGACGCTGATTATTTTCGTGACTGGGTGAGCCCGGAGGTAGTTTACATGGCATATTTGTTAAGCACTTAATCGGGCTCGAGGGAATTGCGTAACAAGCCGAAATTCCTGAGAACAGTGTTTTGGAATTGTAACGTGATCATGATTTCCATTTTCCCTATCTGTCTCCCTCGCTCTCCTCTCTTTCCCGCTCTCTCACTCTCACCCTCGCCCACTCAACCTTACTCCCAAACTCATTCTCACTATGTCTCCCAAGCAAGCTCCTAGAATTTTGCTACGACTAAAAATTTCTCCAAAAACTTGGATTAAGCAAGGCTTGAGGGCATGCTAGCGGAAATTCTGCGTGAGACAATTTGAACAAAATGAGGAGATGCTGGCACAAGATCAGAGGGGAGAGCGAGAGAGATAGAGAGAGAGGAGAGGGCAAGAGAGAGAGGGAGGGAGAAAGGGGGAACGTGAAACAATCGGTAGCCGCGGGGACGCTAGCAGAGATCCTTTGGGCGATGTGGGAGCAGATAGAAGTTAATTCGCTACTTAGGGGAACCTGATACTTGGCCAAACCATAAGTTTATGCATTCCCTGATACTGAATTCTAAGCATCAGCAAGCAGCAATCCATTTAGGTATTTGGGGCCAAAATTGGTGGCTTTCGAGATATGGTAGCTGCTCAACTTGTAGGTGTTTCTAGACCGTTGCGACATTAAATTTTTGGGGTCAGCAACAACTTTGTGACAAGGCTGAGGCTTTGGCCAACGAACGTCGAACTTCAGAATACATTTTCCAAAATCACTTCCAAACGCGACGATCTTTCGAGAATTCTCGGCTGCCACCTGTTTATTATCTACACGCCGGCAACGCCGGGGGCAAAGGCTCAACAACAAAAAATAGTTCTGGTGCCCGGCGATAAGAGATGCGGAAGCCGGGTCGATACCATCAGGGAAGGGGGGTCCAGCGCACTTTTCGGCTCCTACATTTCATGCTTTATCTACGTCCGGGGGCCACGGTACCCGGCAGCTGATCGTGGTCACACACTACGCTCACAGACTATAAATAAAATAATGGTTTGAAAAATGTTATTAAAGCCGTTATAGCGTTTTAAATGAACCAAGAAGTCGTATATACCTGTAAAGAATTCGAGAATGCCTTAAAATAACCTGTTAGCGGCTATTTGTGCAGTGTACGGTATTTGTCAATGGGACGGCAAGCTGCAAAATTTCGGTCGGAAATTCCGTGAGAGCAGACGTTCATAAGCCTCAGAAATACTTTGAAGCCTGGTGCCAGCCTAATTTTAGCTCTATTCAGAGAGCAGTGTGCACTCCCAAAAAGGACTGATGACGACCAAATGGGCCACCTAATAACATAAGCTCTCAAAAAATAAGTCCCATTTCATGTCGTGTATGGCTGCCATTAGTGAATTGGCTGCAAATGTCATTAGCGCATACATACACATACATCAAAAATGAAGCTAAAAATGAAATATCATTCAGTGCAGCCAAAATTAAAGACTAAACGGATCTTCGAAAATTCCCAGTCCGAACTTCCGGCCTTATTCGGCTTCGTTTAGGGTCAGTCTTATGCTTATGTTAGGCTTAGGCTCAGGCTTGATCAGAGTCCTAGTTTAGAAAAATTCCATTTCCGGCCAACTCCCAAACTGGCACCGGACACTTTTGGAACGTGTGTTTTTTGGGGGCTGACCCTCAAGCCAGAAGTGCCAGAAGTGGTCCCCGGGAGTGAGGGATCTTTGTGGGAGTTGACGCATTTCCGCTTTGCTCCCAAATGCACAACCCCGACCGGGGAGTCCATAACAATGTCCGCTGCTGGAAATCGGGATCATGCTTGGTCAGTGGGGTATTTTGGGAGCAGCTAGCAGTTGCAAAGTTGAGCTTGAGCATGTTACGGTATCCATTTCATCTTCAGTTAATTTTAGGGATGCAAAGTGCAAAGCTTTACTATGAACGAAGAGTTGAAGAATTTGAAGAGTAGCGTCCCGTAGACCCAGATTCTAAGACATCAAGCTCTGACGAAAAGCTGATTTCTGGCATTGCTCGTCACTTCCCCGAAAATACGCACATGTTCTCCAGCGGCCACAAAATTCGATTCCCCACGTCCAGAAGTGGGTTAGTGCGCTTCGTGGAGTTTGACGTGTGTTGTTTGCCCCAAAGCAAGAAAAAATTAAAAAACCAGATTTAGGCTCAGGCCTAGGTTAGGCTTATGTTTAGGCTTAGGCTAAGGCTTAGGCGTAGGATTAGGCTTAGAAATAGACTTAGAAAAAAAATTATTTAGAAAATTTCCAGCATTAAAATGTTGCCTTCCTCAACGTAACGTCAACTTTATTTTCCCGTCCTCCAAATTCAAATACAAAACACAAAAAAAAACAGAATTCAATAATCAACATCGAGGGTATCAGAATATCGATGGCCAGAAGAGGAGCGCCTTCTCTCAATGCCCTTCCAGGATAGGCTTCTTGTAGTCGGCCTTTCGTTGGCAAAATTCTTAAGTCGATGCGAGGCCGAAGAGGCTGCCCTGCCGAGATGAACGTCTCGGTGACGAAGCTACCGTACTGTATCACTCGGTCTTTGTCCATCCACTTCGAGTCAATCCGTCTAAAATGAGCTTAGTCAGCGAGAGAGCAAGAGAGTTATATAGAGGGAAGAGAGACAGATAGAAAAAGACAGAGAGAGCGAGAGGGCGAGATAGAGAGAGACAAAGATAGAAATAAAAACCGCCTACCTGATGTCGTGAATCGTATGCGCTCCGGGCTGTCGACTGTACAACGTCCTGATCTTGAAACCGATCGCTTTCCATTGCTAAAAAAATTACACTTTTGTCGTTCAAAATCTATGCAGATTAAACAAAATTTACGACTAGGTACTATTCACTACAAGTTAAGACTAAAAACGTCAAAATTTTTGTTTTTATTGACGTACCTTATTCGACCACAGGTTCTCTTGGCGCTGCCCGATCGAGTCTACGCATAAAAGCGCTGCTTTCAGCTTGGGGAACTGGTTGTCGAAAATACCCTGAAAACAGGATGTTACCTAAAAATTGCTATAAACACGGTACCTGCATGAATAACCGCTGCGATTCCTGATGCACATCTCTCAAGATGACATATTCTAGCTGATTCGAGTTTGTGAGGTCCACTTGAGCATTGGCGACGTCGAGGAGTTGGCATTTTTGAGGTACTAAAACGGATTTGATGTTTAGATTGTTAAAGTAGGAGCATAAAACCGATTTTTTAGTGTTTTTAACGTCTAAGTTATTAAAAATTTTAATTACAAATTTCAAGACTCAATCACTCACAGCTAAAATACATATGAAGCAAATTAAGATATTGGTATTTTTCGAAAGGGCAGCGGAAGGTAACCAACCGATAATACAAGGTGATTTTGCCCCGTCTTCCATAGAGGCTCTCCAGCACATGAGGCGAGGGTTGATAAATCTAAAACACACACACAGAAATTATTCCAATTTTTGTTTTCTCACTTCAAATAACGGTTGAAGAGCTCTTCTTCAAAGTAAGGCCGCACGTCTTCCATCGATAGGCCTCGAATTACGACTTCGCCGTCTCCGATCCACTTCATCAGATCGCAGAGGAGTTCATCCGTCATGAATGTCATTTTCTGAAAGAAGTTACTTTTTGAAATTGTTGATTAGGCTGAATTTGATGCCGGAACGCGTTGCCTGCGTGGTGTGCGCGTTTGCCTTATGCTGCGTCATGTTTTACGGCGTGCGTTGCGCGTCCATTGACGGTGTGCGTTGCGCGTTCGTTGCGTCTCGCGTTGCGTGTTGCGCGTTGCATGCGTTGCGTTTCGTCACTACGCAACGTTGCTTGCTAAAAGCAAAAGGGGCGCGCTGGCCATGCTAGCCGAAAATGGCACAGGTTATTTCGCTTTATTTTGAGGGTTGCGTCGCGGCTGCTGCAGTACAAGCTATTCAAGCGCCCATTACAGAATCCAAGTTCGTATGCTCACACACGTTTTAAAGAGACCATGAAGTTCAACTTACAATCGTAAAGGTATCGATTCTGCTGTTCGAGGCGTGATTCTTGAAGAATTCTTCTGAGAATTGGTCCTGCACCCGGGTTTTCTGCTGCACGAAGCGCATGTATTTCTGGAATTATGGATTTTCTTTGGGTTAAACGATTCAAATTACCCGCGTCAGTGCACATTCCTCCCATTTCTTTGCCGGGACATGGAGGCCCGTCTAAAAAAAATCAGTTTGCCGGAAATTTCTCAATTTTGGTGATAAAAGCGTATTTTTTGGCCAGGTCATTTTCTATGAATGCATCAGTCACTCACCGACGAGGAATTCTCCTTGTTCCTTGCTGACAACCCGGCATTGCTGTAGGCAATGATCTGCATCATGAACTCATCCTTCAGCATCCGCATCGCCTCCCCCACGGAGCTGCGGCTCCGACGAAACTGTGGGAACGCTATTTTCTGAAAGAAAAATGGGTTTTTCGGTTATTTTAATATTTAATGTTAACTCGTCATTCTTTAAAAAAGCATGAATTATTGAAAATAGTAAAAATGATTTGGGAATTCAAATTATTACTTATGAAAGGGACGTAGAAGCGTCAGAATCCACCTGGCCCGTGTTTTTAGGTCTATACGCAATACTCCAAATGACCCAATTAGAATAGGCACCAAATCTAATTAAATTTTGAGGTTTGTTTAGCTGTTTAGGCCTAGTCAAACAAGGGGTCGTTTTTGTGCTTCTAAATTCCTTTAAATTCCAAAAACATACCAGGCACATTTTGAAAAATCGGATAGAATATAGCTCGGGACTAGAAATTCTCTAGTTGACAATATCCAAGTAGAATTTTGTAGGAATGAATGAATGGAGGAAAGTGACTCCTGGCCGCGATCCCTGGCCCCGAAAGCACTCACTTTATTACGCAGGGATTATTGGACAGAAGCACGCGTCACCCGGGTCTAAACAAAGCTCCCCTCTGTGCGCAACCGGCCACTCAGCTGGATTTCAAAAATATCATCCGAAAAGTTGTTAAAGTACACTTAGAAAACGACCACGCCCCTCGAAGTCTAATCGAATTCAATTTGAATCCCGTCTGAATCAGAGGCGCGTGACAATGAGCTTTTCTACCTACGTTTTTTTTCGTGAATTTCCGAGATTCCACTCTTTAGGGAATTTCCAGCGTGACTTGGAATTGAATTTCCAGCGTGACTTGGAGTTGACTTGGAATTTCCAGCGTGACTAATTTTTCCGAAAACTCAAAAAATTAACGAGAAAACAGCGCCGCAGGCGAAAAATTTTGGGAAAAAGGCTACATAGCTCTACAAATAGCAATAACAACTTGTAAAAATAGCAAAATTTTTGAGAAAATAAAAATCATAAGGGTTCCCCCTTACGAAATTTTCGGGCCCCGGCCGATGTCGGGGGGGAGGGGGAGGGGGGGGGGGGGCCGGGCCCAGGGGGCCCACCTTACGCTACGTCCCTGAGCCTAAAACAGCGTAATTTCCCTCTTATAATTTTCTTGTCGGCCGTAAGTGCAGTTATTGTTATAAAGCGTCCTTGTCGTAGCCGGTCATGTTTTTCGTGGCTTCAAAAAGCACGCAGCATTTTTTGTATCCAAAAAGAGTGACAACTTATGTTTTTGACGCAAAATCTAAAAAAACTTAGGTCTTAAAAACATCAAATCCATCATGATACAAAAATAATTCCGAATATTCGTGGTGACCCGGACGTGTGACTGACGGAATTCCGGTCTCACCCGGAAAGGGATCGGTTTTATATCCCTTCAGCCCTTCAACCGGCCGGGTGAGGGCGCTATGCACCTGCGTATATCAGGGGCCTGCGCTAATCGGGTCCCGTAAATAATTGAAAAGAGCGCGAGAGAGGGAGAGAGCGAGAGAGAGAGAGGGACCGAAAAGGAGGAACCCGAGATCCCAAGAACGAGCATGGACCCTGGGAACAGGGCCGTGTTGATGTAAGTGTCGGTGAAAAATTGATGCCATTCGGGGGTACGGAATTTTTCGCGGAATGCCCGACGAGGACCTTGAATTGGAAAGTGTGCGCTGGATTGTGGTCAAGGGAGGTTGTAGGCTTAGGTTTAGGCTTAGGCTTAGGATTAGGCTTAGGTTTAAGCTTAGGCTTAGGCTTAGGCTTATGCTTAGGTTAGGCTTGGGATCAGGCACGGGCTTGCCAAATTTTGAGCGACCAAAAACCAGGACTGTATTTGGAAATCCCTTCTTTATACAAGGCCTCGCCTGTTTTAGGCAGATTTTGGACACAGGACAAAACGGTCTTGCAAAAAATTGATTAGATTGAGATAGAAAGAATAGCGACTAGTGGCCGAAAACCGGAAGCGCTACTGATAAATGGCTGAGAATTACGGTAGCTGGTTCACCACAAACATTTTTTGACAACTAAGTTCAAGCGGAATCCCCTTGACATTTCCGGAAAGCCGCCGTATTCCACCTGAACAGGCCCCATGATTTTCTCAGATCCAGGTGAAGGTGGGGGGCGTCAGTTTTTGAATGGCGTTGATTAGCGAACATTCCAAGAGCAAAGTGCGAGAAGGAAGTTGGGTACGGGACGATACTCAAAAGGTACTTCTTTAGGAAGTAAAACTGGGAAAATTTTTGGCCCGGACTCGAGGAAGCCGTGTAATCAAAAATCAATTGAGTCGGCGGGTGAGTAGGGAGGCGTGAGAAGCCATTTAATGGAATAGAAATCTCGGGAAAACGGATTTGTGGGTGACATTTGATTGTCGTAGATGATGGAGGACATTTTGAGGAAAAAAAATTAGTCGTATCCTTATAAATCTAAATAATGTTGAAAAGTGAATAAATATTGCCAAAATGGTGATTAAGGGTTTTAGGCGTATCATAAGGGTGAAAATCCAACAGAAACACATCGCGCATTGCAAATCATATTTGAATCGCAACTACGCACTTGTAAAGCACCGCCTTTTTTGAAATTTCAATTTTTGTGGAAAACGTTTTCAAGGTGTTCAAAGTTTTGGAACATTTGAAATTTTTGAGTATTTGGCGCGAACTTATGGTTAATGTTTTTACGCATTAACTTTGCTTTCGAATTCAGTTAAATAGTGTTACCGCTATTCCGCTATTCATATAAGCCGCCATCACCCACATTTCCATAAATACTCGCATTTCCCAAAACGTGTGACCGCCCCATTTTTCTGATTTTAGATACCCAGAGAAACGAAAGATATCCGTTCCCATGGGCTACAAGTTCCGGGAACACCCCTGAAGCTCTTCGCCGTTGTAACAACAAAAACGCTAATTAGAGCCGGGCGTGGTGGGGGAGGATGTATTGATTGGGAAAATGCTGAAAGGTATCTTAAGGTCAATGAAATTTATTAAGAGCGCAGATTTTGAAGCAGCAAAATCGCAAAGGCACATTCGGAAAACCAGGTTGTTTTGCGTTGATCTTACAAGGAGTGCCCTTTTAGTGTCATCGGCAAAACCTTTCACGACCTAGCTCATTCGATAGAGAATTGAATTCTGAACAAGCTCCCGTTGTTCGTTTTTGCGGAATGGCTGTCTCCGATTTTATAAAATTAAAAAACTAAAAACAGCATTTTTGGACCTCGATGCTCGCGCCAGCCCCAGATGCGCCCCCGGGGGAAGAGCCGCCCTGACCTCTCCCCACCAGCAGTATGCGTGGCGCAGTGGCTAACACCGCTGCCCACCGAACTTTTTTTGCGATTCAGGCAAAAGTTCGAAACTCACATCAACAATTCTTTTTGCTTTTTGAATAAGGTTACGCTTGGAACCCCTCGTGGCCGTTTCATGTGCATTTTTGAGAAAAGCCGGCTTGCACCAACTAGATTCTTAATTAGCGCATGCTTTTCAAAAACATAGGCTTTCTCACAACGGATTGTTCGATTGTCTCTGCTTCAAATAAAACGGATTTTGACCTATGAACCCAGCGCAGTCAAAATCCAAAAAGCAAAAAGAATTGTTGCCGTGAGTTTCGAACTTTTGCCTGAATCGCAAAAAAAGTTCGGTGGGCAGCGGTGTTAGCCACTGCGCCACGCTTACTGGTGGTCGGGAGAGGTCAGAGCGGCTCTTCCCCCGGGG